GCATGAAACTTAAGCAGTCTGCGTTAGTGTTGAATTACTCAAATGGACTGACAACGCAGATTAGTAACTTACTAAAGGGATAATGCTGTAACACCAGAGAGAAACCAATGGTTCTTGAAGAGTAAGGTGAAGAGATGTAGTTTGTAATCCCAGTATCCTGGGATGGATTGATGCATGACTTGCTGATGCTGAAGGATGTTGCATGGCCTCAGCTGTCTGCTGTTGATTCACGTATTCGGACTGTATCTCCTTGTGGGAAGGGACTAACGTAATGCTCGCGGGTACTGACTGCAGCGTCAAAGCACAGCTCCTTCGCTGTGTGACACTGCGGACATGGGTGCAGGTGATGATACACCACATGTTGTTAAGAACATTCCTGCCCTTGATGAAATTAAAGATACTCTTTAAAGAGAGCTTTCTAGAGGAGGAGCTTTCCCACAGACAGACTATAAGCCAGAGCAAGAACCTTTTCCTTAGAGCACTCTGACTCTAAAATCAGTGTTTTGTAAAGCATCAGCTTTGAATGAAGGCATCACAGAGTCTGACCCTGCAGCCTTGTGTTGCAGGAGGCTGCTCTGCCTCTGGAGAGCCTGGCAGCAGACTGAAAACCTTGACCTTGAAATTTGAAACATTTCAAATGAGTTTGGATAGGGATCCAACTGTATGATGATACTTATTTCGATTTTTGGGTCAGACCCCCAAGCTGCTCTGTATACAGCTACTCTAGTGGCTTGTCTTAACAGTGATAACAGCCTTTTAATTTTCTTATTTTATTTTTAGTTAACATTGTTTGGGAATCAGTTATTTATACCACTGCTTCCTGAGATATTGATATTTACACAAGGAAGCTTATGTTACCAGCATGTCAGCTGTTTTAGTCTGTACCTGGGGTTAGGAATAAATCTGCCTTTGAGTAGCTGTACCATAAATGGGTATTTTGAGTTTACTACAACCTTTTTTGACACATCTTTCATTGCTGGAAAGGGATATTGGAGTTAAATGATGCGTGTGATGTGGCACAGAAGATCCTGTGTATCCTTTGCCCTTTTAAATACAGTGTTCACCTCAGTATACTTTCCTCATGTCTCTAATGTCTGAGGATTTGTCATGCGACCTTTGGGTGCCTTTGACACTGCTTTGAGATAGACCATCTTTAGACAGGCTGTTTCCAAGCTTATTGTCAGTCTGTAGTTCTGTGGCTTTGATGTTCTGCCTTGTGCAACTGGGATTTCTCTTCAAGGCTCCGCAGCTTGACTGTGAACGTGGCTGCTTGTATTGGACTGTATTTTTAATCTGTTTGGGTTTAGTTTCTTTTTTCCTGTTCTTTCTCTGATGCCTTTTTTTCATCCCTTCTTATACGACTCCTCTCTATTTCCTCTAAATCTCTCCCTCTTTGCTTTACTTTTTTACTTTTAGGTGATGTTATCAGTGCAGACCGCTACCATTTAATAGTAATAGTTTTTCTAGTATGCACAAGTGGAGTGCTTCAAAGCTGCTGTTTTCCAGCTGACCAGCACAGCCAGCTGGGGCATTTAAATGCAGCTCTGCTCGCACTGTGCTGAATATGCTAGTGACATAATCCTCTGTTTTGAAGTTATCTGCACAGATGTTAGCTTCTTCCTTTTAATAATACATGGAATGTTGTATTGGAGATTATTTTATATGAAAAATAAACGTTGCAATGGAAGGTACTAAAAAATACAGGTTGACGATGAACACCTGGTTAGTAAACTCACTACCTTTTTGAAAACTTTATAAACTGTATCTGATTTAAATCCAATTTACACTATGAAAAATTTTCTTTTATGAACAATACTAGCCACAAAGTTGGTTGCGTAGACAGGATTTTGCCAGGTAGAGTATGCTGATGACTGTGCACTGAATTGCAGGACTTGAAAGAGTATAACTAGACATGCTTGGTGAATAGAGATTAGAATAGTGAAGTCTCAGAGCTGTGCTGATCAAAAAACCTGGCATCCTAAAACTGTGATATTTTAAGAGCTGATGTCAAACTGTGTAAATCAAGATTAATTTATCAGACAACTGTCAGTGTGTGGGATAGGCTTCCTTCTGAGAAATTCCCTCAAGTGAATCTGTGCTAATCTGTATTCAGTCTCATGTACCAATACTAAATGCTTAAGAAGGATACAACTTCCCTTTGCGGTGTGTTTTTCCAAACAGAAAGGGACTAAAAGCAAAATGCATTTTTGTCCTCTGCAGGTACACATCAACTAGAGCCTTCCTAGCCACTTTAAATGAAATGAATGACTATGCCGGACAGCATGAGGTCATTTCAGAGAACATGACCTCTCTTATCACTGGAGAGTTAACACGCTATGTGCAGGAGCTGAAACAAGAGAGGAAATCGGTAATTGATCATTTTTTATTATTCACAATTAATTGCTATTTAAGACAGATAATTACTGGTAGGGGAGTTCAATGTTAAGCAGAATTTATCTGTAGTTAATAAGCATGAGCTTTGCTAACGAACCAAGCATTCAAAATGCGGGTTACGTGCCCTGGCCAAGCCACTGAACCATTTGAATCAAATGTTATAAAATCAGACAGCAATGGCTTCAGGAGAATCCCTGCTAAATAAGGTCAGAGACCCATCTGTGCTTAAGGCTCTGTTAGCCAAAAGCTTGTTTAGGGAAGAGTTCAGCAGCACTGTGTAAAGTCTGAAATGAACAGAGAAACTGTGTTACTGAGACCGATTGAAAGAATTATTAGGATCTTGGTTCAAATTTTCCTGCTTCTCAGCCATAACTGGTCAACAGAACTTTAAAAAGAAATGAATCTAGTGAGAAATATGGGGTCTGTCTTGTTTTGTGATGGTGGGGTATCTGGCTTTCAATCTGTTATCCTTCAAGACTGGTAGAATTAGGAGCTTTATGTTAGTACTCTAAACTACTAGCTGAAATAGGAACTCATGTGCCTGCTACAGTAAATGTTCAAAGCTGATTAATTTGCATGTCACCAGCTCTGAAAGGCATGTGGTTGAGATGTGATTTTTCTTCCTTGCCTTGAACCCTCTTATCCCTGGGATGAGTGGGTATAAAATAGTGATTCTAAGCATTATTTTTACAAATACTCGTAACGCATGTATAAAATGGCTAAGCAAAGAGCAACAAGGTAGGGGAGCATCAGGGCAATATCTTTCATTTCCAAACTGTTGGTCTATTATGAAAAGTGCAAAAGTACTCTTGCTCAGTCCAGCAAAACTTAGGCATTTATAAATGGTCCCAATAAACATTAAGCATGTGTTGAAGTGCTGTGCAGGATCAGAGTCCTGGAAATTACCATCTTTTCCTACGTATGCTATTGGGATGGTCTGTCAAAAGGCATACCTTTAATTTGCAGAATGGTGTGTAATATTGTATATGTAATATTTCAGGGATATAATATTCTGGCAGCAACATGGAAGCATGTTTTACATATAGATGTGATGAGAAAGTTTTCTCAGGCACTACTATGACCTTTTTATTCAGCGTGGACTCTGTACAATAAGCAAGGCAAAAAAAACATTCTAGTATGGTGTTTTTCTGTAACTTCTAATGTTTTTACCTAATTTTTCAATTATATGGGCGTATAAGGTGACTGGAATATCTGTTAGACTTTTTAAGTATGATGGAAGAGGACTTTATCTTCCTTATAAAGTGTGAGCCGTAACTATTGCTTTTTTGTTTTGTTAAGTTTTGTAGCAAATATGGCTCATAAGTAATGGGTGAATGACAGGAAAAGTATTTTAATATTGGTCGAGTGGGAACAGCACAGGAACTGCAAAAAAATAACTGACAGTGTATTTACCTGATAATTCTTGGCCTTTAACACAGAACAATTGTCAGTCGTGGTTGGTGGTTTTGTTCTTGTAATATGAATATAAATGATATGAATTATGAATCCTTGTCTGAGTCCTGTAGATTTCTCGTTTATGAGCAAATGGTGTTGAAAAGGAAACTGCTTCTGCCTTCAGGCATTTTTCATACATAGCTTCTCTCATTTCATACCATAAAGCATGAATACATCAATCATGTTGGGATCTGTAGGAGGGAAATTGGTTGTTGTGTAACTATCACAGAGGGCTGATGCTTTGGCAAAACCTTTTATCACACAAATTGACGAATGGCTTGGTATTTCTGAAAATTTTGCTGGCAGAATTCTCATGCTTGCTGCTTGATACATCATCCACTGTTATGCTACAAGTTCATAGAATCATTTAGATTGGAAAAGACCCTTAAGGTTGAGTCCAAACATTAACCTAATACTACCAAGTCCACCAATTTGCTATAAGCTGTAAGGAAAGATGATCACTTCTGGGACTAGGGCCACATGTAGAAATTGGGAGACCCATATTCTTGTCCATGGAGTCTTGCATCATTTGGATTAAGTCATTCAGGTGTCCAAATACCCCTAAAAAGGTACAAATTTCCAGTGATTTCAGTTTGACTGAAACAGATACCCTTGCTCTTTTTCTTGTAATTTCCCACCTGGAAGATGGAAATGATACACAGAGGTGTCATAAGGATAAATGTGTGAAAGATGAGCTCAGGTACAGCAGAAAGTGGGCAGGCAAATCCATCAGACAAGAGTTTCTGTTTCCAAAGGAAAGCCCTTTGATATGCAGTAGGAATTGTGCATTTTAATAGTCACGGGAGATGAGGGTGGTGATCTTTAAACGCGTGGGGTCTGATGCATGCCTGCATTACTCTGTTTTCATGGTCATTTAGTTTTATTGATTCAAGTGGAATTACACCAGCAGATGATTGGGGTCATGCAATAATAAATTGTACTTCTTTGGTTGTCATTGACAAGAACAAGCCTGTAAGCATCATTGACATTAACAAGCCTGTGCTGCCTGTAAGCAACACAGAACCTGATAGTATATAAAACCTTACATTGGTTTTACGCTGGATAAAATTCATTTGGTGTGCAATTTTTATGTTACGTTGGATTTGTTTGACTACTGTGAGGGGTGTACTTGATGGCTGCTTATGTCATGTTTTTCCATATAAGATAGTTGATAATGGTGGAAATATGGGACGAAGCAGCTAATGAAAAACAGACAGGACAGTCTGGAGGTTGGACAAGTGGGATAACTTGCAAATTCACAGTGGTTTGGCATTGTTCAAAAGACAGGTACCTCCTCTTTTCCTCTGACCTAGTTTGGAGCTCAGGAGAGCTCTGGGTTACCCATATGTTTTTACAGATCGCGTGCTTTTTTGCCTGATGATTTTTGATCATGAGAAAGCAGTAAGAAAAATCAAACAAAGACTCTTTTTGTGAAACCTGAGTATCTTTAGCAACAAAGTCAATCAGTCCATTAAACTTTATCATATTACGCATTCCTCTTCCATAGGATAGCCCTCATTGATGTTATCACTGTACCAGATGAGTAGTTTTGCCCTTACAGTCACTGAAGTTAGGCGTACACCTTGCCTCCTTTTCACTCTGTGTGTGTGAGAACTCCTTGCGCTGTTTCAGTTCTTCCCAGCTATCTAGTGAAGTGAAACTCTTTGTAGTACAGTTCCTCACTTCAACTTCTTCTTGTATTCTCTTGATCTTAGCATGTCCATGCTCTCATGTGAGTAATTCCCATCTTCAGCTAGGATTTTGCTAGCTGCTTCAAAGCTGAAATTTCAGTTCTATGCTTCGTGTGAAGGTCATGCCCCATCTACCTTCCCTTTGAGGTTATTGAGGCAAGATGCATGCAACTGAATTCCCCTTCACTGTATGAAGACCTTCATCACCAAACCACACACATGAGTTGGGAATTGCCTCTCAGAGTGGCTCAGGGAAAGAATTTGTTTCTGTGGTCATTCTTCATGCCATCCCAATTTCACCAAAACCTTACTTAGGGCTAGCTGTGGAATGTGTCAAGTTTGAGGTGGGGGCCCTGCAGTATGACAAGATTTGGTCTTTATCTTGCTTGTCTGTGGCAAAAGAGAAGGAGATGATTCCCATAATGTCAAGAGGTGTGTTTGGACTTCATGAGTATTAACAGGCAATACATTTCCAGCCTGGAAATGTACTCGAGTTCTTCTGCTCCCACCCATTGCAACTGTTTCTGGTTCTAATATTAGGTCCTAAGCAGACTAGTTATTCTCATATGAGAGAGAGATCACCAGTATCTGGGTTGCTTAGATGATGGACTCTGCTTCTCTGTGTTGCTGCACCTGCCAAGTTACTCAGCATGCTTTGTTCCATTAAAAAAAAAAAGTAGACACTGGGGGTTTTTTGGTATCTTCTTTTTGAGTTACACGTAAGAGGACTTCTGAGGAAACATGTAGCCAGTGCTGGCCAAACATTGAGAATTTCCTTTTTTCTTAAAGCTTCACAGGAGATAGCTTGGTTTAGGTATTTTCTCAACTATGGCTGAGGAAAACCCTCAATACTGTAGTTTGTCTGGATAGGAATTCAAGAATTAATTCCTGGGACAATTCTGATTTAGACCTGTGGTCACAAACTAGGTTTGACTCATGGACTCCTCTGGCAGCAGCTGCTCCGTGTAGCCATTGCTCATGTCAGCTTTGCTAAAAATGTGTTTGGGAGTCATGAACTATCCCTCTTATTACTGCTGCTGCTTTCACCTCTACCTCCACCTCCCCTTGGGGGTAGGCTGGCTCCATACAATCAAGCATGAAAGTCAAGAACAAGCCAAGAGCTTTGCTGCAGACCGAACTGGTGCAGCACTGGGATTCTGTGGTTGGAAGAGAATTTACCTGATGTCAATACGTTCCATTTTGTGTAGAGTTAGAAGGGGAACAGGGAATGAATGCATCCTTATGGTAACCGGGAGGGCAAAAACGGTCTGGTTCTTTATGGTGGAGCGTGTGCGCCCTCCCTGTGTGTATTCATACAGGGGGTGTACATGTCAGAGAACTTTCTGTTTCTTGTAGACTCTCAGGTGTTGATGAAAAGTAAATAATTGGAGGAATTCTGCCGTGTTCGTTCATCTGAATAGTGCCCTGTTCTGCAAATAGTCCTGTGGTTTTCAACAGGATTTCTCATGGTGTAATGCACCGTGCAAGTGTGAGACAGGATGACAAAATACGACCCTGTCAAGTGCACAATGGATTTTTCCATGTTGCATTTTGGATGTGTCTCAAGGTCTCCGTGTGTTTGGAGTACAGCTGCGCTTTTTGCTGCAGAGGTACAAAGAGGTGTTGCTGCGTTCCAGAAATGACAAACTAATGTCAGGTAGTAGAAAGAGGAAAAGAGAGACAGTGAAAGGAAGTGATTTGCCAGACTTCAGGTTGATGAGATTGAAACTGAACTTTCCCCAGCTCTTGTTCTGTGACTTACCGACTTCCAGCTTACTGCCCCTGCCCCATGAATGGAGTTAGAAGTATTTTTTTTACTTCTAACAGT